AAATTACAATATGATTATTATAAAAATAAAATTCAACCAATAAATAAAGAAACTCAAATGGAAATAATTCATCTTGATCAAACACCAGAAGATGAAAAAAATGAAGATCAAATTATTCGTAAACAAGATGAACATCTTGATCATATTCATAATTCAATAATATCATTAAAAAATTTAACACATAATATTAATTTTGAAATTGATGATCATATACATGTTTTGGATAATCTTGAAACAGGTATGATAAATAGTCAAAATCATGTAGAAAGTCTAACAAATCAAACAAAATATTTTATTCGAACATCAACTGATGGTGTTGGAGGGCATACATGCTTATTTGCTATTGCTGTTGGTCTTTTTTTCTTAATTGTTATTTTAATTATTTTCTTCTAATATAAATTCAAATACATTCTATTGTTGTATTTATCCGTCTTTTGAAAATTTAATACATGGTATTTTTTTAGATTGAAAAAAAAACCAATGGTTCGAAGTGGTTCAGGTGTTGTTGCAAACATTTCTGTAGACTTGAATAAACCGGAAAAACATAATAAAAAGTTTTGTCTTTCACGTGTTCTTCTCAAGTAATACAAAAAAAAAATAAATATTTTATATTATTTTTTTATTTAAAAAACAATTCTTTTTTAGTGATATTCATCTTTTAAAATCAAGTATGAATGATAAATCAAATAAACCAGTGTTAGAACAAATTACAGATAAAATGGAAGAACTTGATGTTGATAAAGAGCAAAGTAAATAAGAATTTTGTTTTTTCGATCTAGATAATTTGCAATTTTATTCAAATAAATAAAATATATTAATTAATTTATATTGGAATTGATTTTAAAAAATTTAATTGCCTTCAAAAGGCAACTAATAATTGACTCCACAATTTTCAATCAATTAACTGAGTTTATAAATATAGAAACGTAAAACTGTTATAAACTAATTGAAAATAAATAATTTTCGATTGGTTAAAAGTTTTCTATGTGAATATGGATATTTCTATG